CTCACATATTAATGAAAAATCATTTCCATGTAATTTCTCTTCCTGTGTTGTTTTTCTTTTAGAAACTCCATTAGGGTTCACTTACTTTGGTATCAGTTTTCAAAAGAAACTGCTCGCTCAGAAGCTCAGTCTGCATGGGTCTGGGTCTGTGGTGATTGTTTAGTCCGTATGTAAGAAAAATAGACACTGGGGGGAAAAATGAATTGCTCAATGTCCCATGGTGAACCTGTTGATGAGACAAACTTAAGTTCACAGGCACAGCCCAAGATTCTCTACAGTGACCGCCTGTTCTGGGAACATAGTTCAAAAAAACATTTTGCCAGAGATTCACAAAGAATTACCTGATGAGTAACGTGCTATTGGAATCTGTGAGTTTAATGAAGTGTTCTCAGCATGGTGGGTTGAAACCCAAGTGTCCAGATAGTTACAGTGATGTCTTATAGCAAAACTGTGTGACTATTACTTGTTTTTTGATATTTACAAAAGAACAGAATTATCTAAAAGAAAGGAATAAGCATATCTTTGTGGTTTATATGTTTTTATAATAAAATTATCTACTCTTTTTTAAAAAAATAAGAGATAATTATGCTGCCCTGCTATGGGTATTGTTGGGAAGCACACTATATATGTGAATAAAAATGTGAAGTGATTGTTTCTTAAATATAATTGAAACCGAGTAAACATTTGTGGACTCACAATAATGAATAATCTAACTCCAAGGGAAATAAAAAGTTTCTTTTCTGATAAATTATATAACTGTGCTATTGTAAGTATAAACTTATATATCAATATTTTTTGTGTTAAAATAGTCAAATTATCATTGGATAATAGCAGCATGCAACAGTTTTTTCTTTGGCATTTTGCATGGGGTCCTTATTATTCTAAATTTCCTTATGCTAACTTAAAGTACAATCATTTTCTCCAATGTAAGGTTTTTATTGTTAAAATGGAAACAACATTATAATGGCATTTAATTGACCATTTTTCATTTTCAGAAAAGAAGACTCACAACAATGTACATTGAAAAAACAATTTCCAATCACATTCAGAATGTGCTAAGTTTTGTTTAAATTTGACCAATTTAGAAAATAGAATGTCTTTTAAATAAAATAATCTCTTTGTTTTGCTTGTGTTTCATATATTAGTTTTCATCTGAAAGGTGTAGCAATAAGAGGGCCATCACTGTCCTTGTGAAGTAAATGGACATTTTTTATTTTCCTTTTCCGGTCATGTGACTCCATTTCATAACTAGTGTGACCAGTGTGATTTAAAATAAAAATCATCCTATTACTAATGAAAAGTGAGTTGGCAGCTCTGTGCTGGTAATAGTCAAATGTCACAGAGCACTCATTTTCCTCTTGATTCTATAATTGTGAAAAAGTTTTAATAAAGAAAATAATGGAACAGCAGAGTAAAATTTTACTTTGATTTACTGAAAAGGTACACAATAATAAGCAGCCAATTCATTACTATTCACAAAACATAGCAGTTAGGCATCAAATAATTTTTCTTCTACCTCTGGAAGCTAATCAAGATTTCAGGCACAATACAGGTGATTGAAAAAAAAAACAAAAAACACACCCACATTTAACAAAATTAATGATAAATTTGATTTAAGCAACAGCTTGAAAATGTAAAAAAAAAAAAAGAGTTTGAGAATAGACTAGATATTGTCATAACATTAAACAAACTTGAAGATGTTTCAATAGCTTTGTCAATCACAAGTTTGACTAAAATAGTGTATATTATGATTATCAGAAGATTATCATTTACTACTGAACTAGAAGCACAACATAAACTATGGTTCTTAATAGGATTTTAATTATATGTTTCATTAAAGTTATTGGTAATCCAAGTTTATTACATTTGCACCATTTGAGTAGAAAAACACATGATGTAAGTGTGCCCCCCTGTGGCTGCACACTAGTTTGTAAGACTGTCAGAAAGGACCTACGTGGATGGAACGAGAGCCTCAACTGGCCTTTTCTCTAGTGAGCACTTACTCCATCCCACGCAGACGGCTGACGCTCCTATTTTTAAAGTTAATCAAAGGTAAAAGATTCATTGTTTTTCTTATAGTTCTTACCAATATTTTATTTTTAGTAGCCATATATTTTAATCAACATATCCAGCTCTGATCCTGAGGTGGTGTAACATTTAGTAAAAACACATAAATCAGCACAAAACACCTTTCCTCACATACATACCGTTAGCTTAGAAGTCAAGCCTACATGATTCTCAGTGAGTACCTTAAAATACATTTTGTGACTAAATAGGATAATGGGTCAAGTAACATAATTGTAGTAGGCATGTTCATGACCTGAAAAAGGAGTTTACCCCTTTGTGTCATGTATGTAAAAATTGGTATATTTTATAAATGTTGTCAATCAACAAAATATTGCATATCTGTAACATGTATTATAGATTCCACAGATTTTTAAAGCCCTTTTCCATAAAGCATGCTGTAGAGTTGCCAATAATTTTGTTTTGACACCAAAATATTACTTACTTAATACTCTTTTTTTTTTTTTTTTCCCCATGTCTCTCTCTAGTCACTAGTCCCATGTTGCAAAGACTTTATTGACCTTTTCATGGTCCTGGAAAGCCTCTGCCAGGGCTAGTTGTGAATGACCCCGCTAGTTACAGGCCTGCACCAGATCCCTGAGGAAGTGCATGTGACTACCCCTGGGCAAACCTTAGACACACATGAGCTGGGAGTGTTATAAATCTAAGCAGGATTCAGGAACAGTGTGAGTCAGGCAGAGAAACCTCAACTAGCACAAAAGGGAAATGTCAGTATAATCAGATTTGAAGTTTAAAATGAAAACAACTAAGACTGCTTCTTTGAGACACTATAAATGCAAAAATAAATAAATAATAAAAATTAAATAAATCCACACCTAACTGTACAGTTAAACATTGAATTTTTCAATTGAAATAGGTGTTTCAGTTCTAAGCAACTTGAACATTTCTAGTCTCAGTTTGAGTTTCTTCCAGCTAAAACATAGCTTCCTTTATTTTCTTTTTTTTTTTAAATTTGGCCCCAAATGCTACACCAACCATTTTTAATTAAAATGTTAATGTAAAATAAAAAAAAATAGACTCAAATTTAAGGTTTCAATCATTAAAGAAATAATATAAAATATAACATCTATTTTATATTTCCTCTATCAAACATTTCTCTGTTTAATTAAAATTATTTCTTAGCATAGTAAATGTTTTTGATTTGGGAGAATTTATTTTAGTTGGGATTGGAATAAATTTATGTTGTTTATATTTGTTTTAATAACCCAAACTTATCTCTAATTATAGATTGGTCATTTAGCATATTTTTTAAAGTTCTCAGATTACAATATTTCATAGTAAATATTGATGCCTGCCAGTTTTTTGCACAGATTGAAATTAGTTTTGCATTTTTAAAAGACTAATTGAACCATTTTATACCCATCCCTTTCTACCTGTATTACCTAACAAAGGAATCCTAATGGTAAGCCGATGTCAAAAATCTAAACAGCAATAATAGTAACATTTCAAAAAGTATATTAATCTTTTCTGGAAAATTCTTCTCACCCTCATGGAAACAGTTTAAAGTAGACTAGAAGGAAAAAAGACAAAGGACCATGGAAGAAATGGTAGCATTTGTAATCTTAATTTATAATCTTGTAGCATTGAATATCTCCTAGCAAAGAGTTGGGCTGTTGTCATATAGATGTTTTTCAGTGAGACAATTTTATTGAGTGCCTGAATTAAATATATTTTCATGCTTTTGTTGTTGTTCTTGGTATCTTTTTTTAAAATATATTTTATTGATATTTTACAGAGAGGAAGAGAGAGGGATAGAGAGTTAGAAACATCGATGAGAGAGAATCATCGATCAGCTGCCCCCTGCACACCCCCTACTGGGGATGTGCCTGCAACCAAGGTCCATGCTCTTGACTGGAATCGAACCCGGGACCTTTCAGTGCACAGGCCATCACTCTATCCATTGAGCCAAACCGGCCTCGGCTGTTCTTGGTATCTTAAGCTCTTTGAAAATGTATATTCTGCAAAGAAATTTAAAAATAGTTTTTCTTAAACAAATTTATTTATACTTGCTTTTGTGGTTTTGAAGATAAACCCAGGAACACTTTAGTAAAGGTTTCTTACTGAATAGTGATCATCCTTATGATTTTGGAAAAGAAATATATTACAGAACAATGAAGCAGCAGCTACAGCAAACAGAGCTACAGGTTGGCATATTGCTTGATTTATGTTTTCTTTATCTCATCTACACTTGTAAACACCTAATTAGCTATTTTTTCAGAGTACTAAATCATGCATTGACCTACTATTCTGATCTATATCCGCTTCTTTTACAAGTTTTGAGAGTAAACAATATTGAGACATGCTTGGAAAAGTATACTACAATAGTATGTTGTAAATGATACACACATTAAAAAAGAAAAGGCATTTTTTTTTTGTCTGTAAATAATATGATTTAGATTACAGGGCATCAAATTAACTTTTAAAAAGGAGGTTTTGACTACTAGTATACCATGTGATATTTAGCATGAATCAAATGGTACTAAGAGAGAAGCTCAGTGTTTCTCTTCTAAAAAAAAAAAAAATCTCCTAATTACTTGCTCTTTCTTTCTACTTATTTAAAAAATAACATATTCTAATTATAAGACACTGAATTAGTTTTCTCTCTTGCAGTCTAAGAATTAGCCCCAAACCATTAATTATAATAATGTTCCTTGCTGTTCTGGAATAAAATGGGGAAAATAAGTGTTCCATTGAGAACTCTTGTTAACAGCCTTATTCTGTGTACTTAACCATACATTGCCCCCTGTTTTCAATCAGCAGAGATAAATTATTGAAATCTTCAATTCTACAGGTAAATTAAGCATTAATACTATTTCCTAAGAAAAAAAAAGGAAACAGGTAAAATTGCGTGCTTTTTTTTCTTCTTTTTTTTCTGAATAGGAGTAATGGACCAGTAAAATACCACATGTATCACCTTTGAATAGTCTCTAAAGTACAGGCACATTTACATTATCAACCAAAATGAATGCCTCCCAAAATGTGGCCAATGGAAATAATATGGATTACCTTGCATTTTTAATTGTTCTCTGATCAAAAATAAGCCAAAATGCAGAACTTAACTTCTAAGCAAACTCAATGTCAGTGATATGGAATTTCCGTTATGTACCAGTTTTCAAACCTGAAGACATCAAATACGCCTCATCCTCAATGTCCCACAGAAGTAAAAAATGACCCAGAAACAGGTGACAATAAATTCAAACTTAGCATGAAAACCTTTTGCTTTATAATGCTACTTACATTTCTGGAGATGTTAATATCTATTAAAACAACACATCACACAGCACCTTTCCTTTTACATCTTGAAAAACATACATAAGCAAGAATGGAATGGGGTGGGGGGAAGTTTGATTAGAAAAGTCCACAATCTTTCAGATTCTCTTTGATTATTATATCTGTAACTGCATCGAACACGAACTTGACATTTTGGGTATCTGTAGCACAGGTCATGTGGGAATAAATTTCCTTGTCTTCTTTTCTTAAATTCAGGTCTAGAAACTGGTTCTTGATGTAGTTCCCTGCATCTTCAAATGTATTTGGCCCTTGTTAAAAAAGAAATTAAAGTAAACATTAATTGCATAAGAAATAAAATTATAAATAATATTAGTAAGTTTTAAGATTTTACTTTGTGTGCTTCTATTTGATGTACTCTGTACTAAAAAGTCAATATTGGCAACAGTCAGTTATCTGGGATTTATGTAATGCCTACTTTGTGCTGGGAATTATACTTGACCACGGAGGGCTTCAAGTGGCTAATATTTAACCTTTATCTCAATAGAGAAGAAATACGAATATATTTACACAATCAAGTAAGTGAGTAATGAAATATATATATATATATATATATATATATATATATATATATATATATGCCAAAGTCTGTGTGTGTATGTGCATTTGGTTTCATATGAACAAAATGAAGAAAAGAATAAAAGTTATAAAGAAATCTGCTGAGTGATGTGGTAGTTGAACTGGACCTTAAGGAATAGCTAAAAGAGAACAGAAAAATTATATGAGCGAGAACCAAGAGTGAGAGTGAGAATGGCCTGTATCACTAGACTTCAGGGTTGGGTTGAGAAGTGAATGTGCATTTTGGAGGATCTGGTTTGATAAAAATGAAAGATTTTTGTAGAGGGATTGTAGCATGTCAAGTAGTTTAGGTGGTATGGGCCAGATAATGAACTATGTTGCAACTAAGCAGGGTAGCTAAAAAGAGAAATGTAAGATAGAAAACTATTCTTAACTGATTTTTAAAAAAATATATTTTATTAATTTTTACAGAGAGTAAGACAGAGGGATAGAGAGTTAGAAACATCGATGAGAGAGAATCATTGATCAGCTGCCTCTTGCACACCCCCCACTGGGGATGTGCCCGCAACCAAGGTACATGCCCCTGCCCAGAATTGAACCTGGGACCTTTCAGTCCGCAGGCCAACGTTCTATCCACTGAGCCAAATCGGTCCCGGCTTGACTGATGTTTTAGTAAAGTTAAATAAAGAGCCAATGAAGGCTGTGCTTAAGGAAGTTAGACTAGTAGCAGGATACACAATAGATCAATTGGGGAAGGCAGAAATAAAATAAGAAGGCTAACAAATACAGGACACCTAAAAATGATCAACTGATGGCTTTAGCAGACTGTGCTGAGTGGGGACATAACACAGGATAGAATAATAGCATAAAGATTCTCCAAGAAGGTAAGATTTTATTATTACCAGGAGAAAAATTCCACAAGGGACGATCCTTAAAACAACGTAACAGCTAAGATTCCAAAACACCAACAACACCAAATGCTGGCAAAGATGTGGAGCCACAGGAACTCTTATTTATGGCTGATGGGGACGCAGAAATGGTCCAGCCACTTGTGAAGGCAATTTGTTAATTTCTCACAAAGTTAAAGGTAGTCTTAGCATACAATCCAGAAATTGTGCTCCGAGGTATTTGCACAATAACTCATGTACACACAAAAACCAGCACATGGGTGTTTTATAGCAGCTTTATCCATAATGCCCCAAACTGGAAGTAACCAAGATATCCTTCAATAGGTGAAAGGATACAGAGAGAGGTTTGTTTATAGAATGAAATATTATTCCACAATAAAAACAAGTGGGCTATCAATCCATGAAAAGATATGGAGGACATTGAAGTGCATATTGCATTTAATATTGAAAAGCGAAAGGCATTAGAAAATGCCACATACTGTTTAATTCCAGCTATATGACATTCTGGAAAGGTCAAGACTATAGGAAGTGAAAATAACAGTGGTTTCCAAGGGTTGGAGAGTGGGGAGAAGTATGAACGTGGAGCACAGAGATTTGTAAGGCGGTGAAAGTATTCTGTAAAATACAATCATGGTGGACACATGAGAGGCATTTGGTAAAACCCATAGACCTGTACACAAATACTTACACAATGCAAACTGCTGACTTTATTTGTTTGTTTGTTTGTTTATTATTTTTATATTTTATTGATTTTTTTAAAGAGTTAGGGAGAGAACTAGAGAATTATAAACATCCATGAGAGAGAAACATCAATCAGCTGCCTCCTGAACACCCCCTACTGGGGATGTGCCCGCAACCAACGTGCATGCTCTTGACCAGAATCGAACCTGGGACCCTTCAGTCCACAGGCAGGCCCTCTATCCACTGAGCCAAACCAGTTAGACCGAAACTGCTGATTTTAGTTAATAATGTACCAATATCTGTTCATCAACTGTAACAAGACTGCAGCAATGTAAGAGGTTAATAATAGGGAAAACTGTGGGAGCTGACCAGAGAGTATATGGGAACTCTGTATTTTCTCTTCTAAACTAAAAACTGGTCTAAGAAGTACACTCTAGTACTTAAAAGAAAGCATTGTTGTAAGTCTATTATTTAATTTGTAATATTTAAATCCTAGACTGTTTTGCTTAGTGGATAGAGCATTGACCTGCAGATTGAAGGGTCCCTTGTTAGATCCTGGTCAAGGGCACATGCCCAGGTTGCAAGCTTGATCCCCAGTGTGGGGCATGCAGAAGGCAGCTGATCAATGATTCTCTCTCATCATTGATGTTTCTATCTCTCCCTCTCCTTTCCTCTCTGAAGTCAATTAAAATTTAAAAATATATAATATTCAATATAGAATCATGATATTTAATCATATGATAAATGTGTGAACATATAATTAATATTTATAAATTCAGAAGAAAGATACAAGCACTAATTATAAACTAATACATATAGTCATTTTGACAAAAGGCCGTAGTCCTAGTAACATCTGGGTGACTCATGTATCAAATAGTGAAATTGCTTGTATTTGTGTATAAATCATAAATATTTTTATCTTACCCAATTTCACTGACAACAGAGCATATAACAGCAAAAAAAAAAGTTTCCAAAGGGAAAATAACCCTTCTAGAGAACCTGACATTTATAAATACTGGTTAATAGGACCAGCACTAAACCTCTTAAGTTCTAGGACAATTAGAAAAAGAAAGGGTGCCACTATTCTCAAATTCATTCATGCTATCCTTTGGGAAATTTAATTCATACTTTGAGAAGGTACTGACATCTAATACAGCATCCCAAGGTTTCATTAGGAAATATATGAAAAATTCCAATCTGAAATAAGATTTACATTCCTATTACAATGTTTAATGTTTGCAACATCACTTGATACATTATTATGGAGTACCAACACCAGTCTATTGAACCATCTCCTATTTATTTACTAGAGCTTTGCTTTAATGCAAAGTAGGGACATTTTCTCTTATAAAATTCTTTCCAGTTTGGATCACACACACGACTCAAAATGTACTACAAGCCTCAACCTCATAAATATTGCATGTCAAGATCCAGATAAGGAAATACGTATCTACATAAATTTTTACTACTCTGTAATTATATGGAAATTATCTTACCAGTGTACTCTGGAAAGCAGATACTAAGATGCACTTTGGTGACTTTTTCTTGAAAGAGATCTTTTTTATTGAGAAACAGGACAATGGAGGTGGTGGCAAAGTACTTGTGATTACAGATGCTGTTGAACAGGTGAAGGCTTTCGTGCATTCTGTTCTGTTTGGTTTAAAAGATGAGAATGTGTAGAATCATTATTTGCAAAATGTTAATCTTGGATCTAGAAATAACACCTTTGGAGGGCCTTGACTGTGTTGGAAAATGTGGTGGTAATATTGCAAACTGAAAATGATTGTTTTTCACCCTGGCCTTATATTCCTTTTAGACTTACCACTTCTTCATCTTCCACTAGGACCATGTCATAGGCACTGAGTGCTGCACAGAATATAATGCATGTAACTCCTTCGAAGCAGTGAATCCACTTCTTCCTCTCAGATCTCTGTCCACCAACATCGAACATTCTTAAAAAAAATAATAATAGAATAACAAAACTTGCAAATAGCCTCCAAAATTCTCAATATCTTTTATAATTTTAAAAGGATACTTTCATATCTCTAGAAGGTAGTCTTTTGATTTTTATTCATTATAAAATACATCTTATTTGGCCAATTTTCAGCTCAAGGAGCAAAGAAGAGATTCCATCATTTTCTTTTTTTACTTCATGCAAACTATAGTAAAATAAATTACACGATGACTTTGAGCATGTGGGAAATTTAAGGTAGCTTAGAGTTTTATTAAGAAATTGATTAGCCTTAGGAGATTTTGATCAAAGTTTATACATATATTCTTAAATTAATATAATTCACAAGAAGATTGGAAACTAACATAGTTCTGGTAATATAATTCCTGGACTGTTTTCTTAGCTCTTTCTACATTCATTTATTCAAATGATTATTGAACCTGATCATGACTGGAATAATTACTATTGTTAAAATGCCCATGCTATAGAGTTAATGCAATCCATATTAAAATCTCATTGGTATTTTTCAAAGAAATAGAACAAACAATCCTAACATCTGTATAGAACCACAAAAGATCTGAATAGCCAAAGCAATTTAGAGGAAGAAGAACCAAGTTGGAGGCATCAAATTCCTTGAGTTCAAACTATATTGCAAAGCTATCTTAATTAAAACAATATGATATTGGCATAGAAAGGCGCATAGACACAATGAAACAGAATAGAGAGCCCTGAAATAAATCCATGCACTAGACATTGTGCTAAGACCTACTGTTGCAAAAATGAAAAAATATCCTCACTATCTTCAAAGCGGAAAACAAATACATTGTTACACTGTTTTAAAATAAAATTCTAATCTACAAGGTAAAGTGTGAGCCTAGAGGGAGATTTATTTCAGCCTGAAGGGTCAATAAACTTACTCAGAGGAGGTATAGTTGAATATTTGGTTCTCCTTCTGTTTTTGTATTTTGTTACAAGGCAACAATGTGGACATGGCAATTCAATACAGAAACTATATTTTTAATGCCCCACATCCCCTTACCATCCATTTAGAACACTTAAAAAATGCAGATTCTAATTCAACCACTTCTCTCCTACTCATTTCCTCTTGGATAAACCACCAACATTTCTGACCAGGGCCAGAGGTCTATTTTTCCGTGGCATCTTTTCCCCTTTAGCATCAAACACAAACTAGCTTAATGAGCACTAAGATCACAGTTATTTTGGTTCTTGCTTGCCTATCCAAGCTTAGTTCCTCTTTTTAATGCAGTTCAATCACAAGGTTATTCTTTCAGTTCCGTTAATATAAACCTAAATTTTGCTATTTCAGGATTTCTGTTGTCTCTTTCCATGTGTCATGATTCCCCTTTTCCTTGTGTAACCCTTCTTTCTCAGCAGGTCTCATTGTTAATGTCTCCTCCATCCCTCACTGACTTTCTATCACACCACTCTCTTAGTTTCCTTTATAGTAATTGTCACAATCAGTCGTTAACTGGTTCGCTTATTTATATGTTTTGCATATTTAGTATATGTTATCTGCCCTAATAGAATAGTGGCTGCTTGAGGGTAGGGACCTTATCTATCGTAGTGATGGCTATATCCCCAGTGCAAGGCACTATCCCTCATACACAATAGACATGCAATAAAAATTTGCTAAATAAATGAGTATATTTCATGTTACTGGCACGAAGGGGTTATATTAATGTAAAGTGCATGTGTAAGGAATGAGAGAACATGGGGTGTTGTGAACATCATTAAGTTTAGATCGACTTTCTTTGACTAGAGGTCCCAGAGTAGGACATATTATCTGGGTAAGTCTCAAACCCTCATCAAGTGAAACTGCCATTACCTTTACTGTGAAGTCTGACATTCCTCCTCTGGTCAGACGGTTCTCTGTGGTGCCAAACAGTTCCCTGGGCATATTCTCCACCTTTCAGGTGTTTTGTTTCATTTTACTAATGGAGATAGACAGTCTGGGTTCCAGGTGTTTCACATATTCTCCATTTAACCATATGTAAATACTAGAGGCCCATTGCATGATATTCGTGCAAAAATAGGCCTTTCTTCCTCTGGCTTCACTCCCAGCCACCCGGGAGCCAGCAAGTCCCAGCTCCCTGGCCGCACAAGAGCCAGCATGTCCTCTCTTCTGTGCAGAGCTCGGCTCCGGTAGTTCCCTCCGCCCCCCCCCCCCTTCCCCTTATAGCAAGCATCATGCCCCTCCCAGCCCACCCTGCACCTGCATATGCAATTTAACCTCCATCTTTGCTGGGTTAATTTGCATGCTCACTCTGATTGCCTGTGGGCATAGCAGAGTGATGGTTAATTTGCATGTTTCTCTTTTATTAGGTAAGATATGGTGGATCATTTGTTGGCAAAGAAATATGATTTGTCGTTGGACAAAAATGCATTAACTTGTAAAGTTGAGGATGGACTGACTGTACATCACTAGGTTTAAACTTATGATGGGCTTTGTCAAAGTAAAACCACTCCTTGTAGTCCCACCCACTCAATTTTAACATGGAAGAACCTCCATAATTCTTGTTTCTTTTTTTTGCTCTAATCCTCTCTCAGGGTTTGCTTCCAGGGTGGGTATCTATAAGGAAAAACTAATGAATCACAGAGCCAGGACAAAAGTCACTGGATGAATGGGATATTTGTACTGAGTGCCAAATATTCAAATTTCACAGTAAGAATGATGGTGCCATAGGAGCCAATTTCCAAAATAGATTGATTAAGTTTTCCCTATTAAACAGGGCTGGGGTTAGTCCTATTAGCATTTGTTTTGGACCTCTTTTATCTTCTTTTATGGACAATGACCCCATCTCCATCTATTTTGATTGGTTCTTTATTTAATCACATTTATAATTTTGATCAGATATATTCAAATTTTACAAATCTGAGAATATTCTTAATGTAACTTTATATAACTGCTCAGATTCCTTGCATGCTTACCAAATATTTTACCTCTGAGAGGATAATCTTGTTTCTCTCATGTTGATAGATTTTTAAATTAAAAATAATTTACAGAGAGTCCCTAGTAATGAAAACATTATAGAACTGAAATGTTCATTAGGAAATCATACCAATAGCTGGAGTTTTGCTTTCATATAGATTCTTCAGGATGTAATGTTAGCTCTAAGAAAGCTTACATTATACTTTTCTGCTGTTGTCATAATTTATTTTTCATACATCCCTTTTCACTTTAGGGGTTTCTCTAAATTTTAATTTGAGGCTTATTTTAGAGCTATAAAGCATAACATCCTATTAATACAATATGGAGATTCCCAAAGTAGAGCATTTGTTTATTATACATTTCACTGAAGAAGTAATTTTATACATGTGTGTGTTTATATTCCATCATGACCATGCTGTGAAAAACAAAAATAAACACAAAGAACACATATACTTGCTGATGAATATTTGGTTTGGGCTAATCTATCTGGGCAATTAATCTGATGAATGGACATGTGATACAGCTTGAATACCCTTTATTTCCTAAGCAGTTAGGGTAACCAGAGTGCCATAATAACAGTGATTGGAACTTGCAGTTCTCATTTTGGATTAAGGATTTTGCTCTTATTTTTGGTTATACGTATTTTCTTATTAAGTAAGGTACTTAAGTTAGAATTTTTAAAAAACTTTTTAAATGCCTAAAATGTATGTAAATTGACTGGTCAGGCTTTTAACTCATAGCTGAACATCAATAATTTGTTAAATTGCCCATAGCATTAATATAAGCCAAGTCACCAGAGTTTTATAGCTTAATATTAAGCAGTTGACTAAACAGTTGAGTTTATAGTCTATTATAAATTTTTGAGTTTTATGGGTTTATGGTAAACAATTGGTTAAATATTTACCACACAAGATTATTCATACTTCCTATCAGAATAGATTATTATTAATCTGCCCTTTGCAGTGCTTGCAAAACCATTATACAACATAGGATAGCTAAAAATAAATAATGCTACCGCAGCTAATTTATTTGTTAAATTTTTTTTACTCATCTTATAAGTAAAATGAGAAAAATTATAATTATTGACATCTATTTATTTGATCTCAGAAAAATAAGATCTAATCTGAGTATGACTTTATTTAAATATGTACTTGAATTATTATTTTAAATTATTAAATTATGAGGTTTATTCAGTATACTTGGTTTTAACACAATTGACATAACCTCTTAAGATGGCCACATGACAGGTGGATCCGTCTCATCACTACGGAGCCACGGGAAAATGGCCTAATCCAGCCTTTGTCCTGTGCCATGTTCTAAAACTCAGAACATAATTACAGACATAAAGTAGATGCACAGAGATCATTCTAAAATCCTTAATTGTTTGGGGTTAAAAAAACAAAATCAAAAGGACTTACAACCATGAGGGACCCAGGGTCTCTAAACTCCCAAATTGTTAGTACCGCTATATACATACTTTTTGCCAAGTCTATGTGCATATTTGAAACTTAAAATGCCCACTATATAATTCTCTAATTTTTGAATGATATAATTTATACATTCATTAAAATAAATTCTATCACCATAATAAATCACACATTAATAACTTATTATTCTGTAACTTATTATTTTGGTAATATTAACTATAAACATAACTTAATCAAATAGATAGTATACATGAGTTATTGCTCTATGAGACCTAGTAGAGAATAACAAAGCTAAGTTGAAATACAGCTGCTGGGTAGGCACCAGACTCACTCCTGAGATTAGATGAGTCTAACTTCCCAGAAATTAACATAGTGCGCATGACTCCAAATTCAGGAAAATTATAATTTATTTTATATGAGATCCATTTGAATGTTGAAAATAATTATATTGAATTTAGAAAATCTCAAGCTTTATGTTGTAATATTTTCTGACCTCTTTTCATTGACTTCTGCATGATTTTGTGTTCGGTCAATTGTTTCTTAATCATGAAAAGTGGCTTCTCTTTAATTGTGAATAAATTCTGATAAATCAGTAAATTCTTTGTCCTGAGGAATTATTTTACAAAGATAGAAGGTCTTGTATTTGCATTGCATTTTTCATTTACATAGTACTTTAACATCTGTACAGGTAATTAATTTTATCAGTTTGACAATTGGCATTCTGATTTGATAAGAATTCTAGGTAATTTCCACTAAATTAGGTGATACATGAAAATGATATAGTACATTGGCAGAGGTAATTTTCCATTTTGAAGTTCCTAGTTAAAATTCCTGAATAATTTAATATGTAAATTAAGTATTTGGTTTTTAAATAGTGATATGATGATTTATACTATGTGAATACAAATCAATGCTAATGCACTATATTTTAATACCTGGGTGCTTTCTGAAATAAATTGGAATGTACATTGTTTTTATATTTCCTATTTTGAAATACTACAAAATTTTACACTACAAATGCCTGTGTGCTTTTAGATAATTTTATTCAGCACTACAGAAAAAGAAAAAAAGATGACTTAATTGTGAGAATTTATTAAGGGATTAATATTGCTGTGACTCAACTTATATTTAATTGATTTTAAAGAATTCCCTAAATTCCAGCTGGTGTGGCTCAGTGGCTGAGCATCGACCTAAGAACCAGGAGATCACAGTTTGATTCCTGGTCAAGACACACGCCCAGGTTTCAGGCTTGATCCCCAGTGGGGGTTGTGCAGGAGACAGCCAATTCTCTCTCATCATGGCTGTTCCTACCTTTCTCTCCCTCCCTCTCTGAAATCAATAAAAAATATATTTTAAAAAAGAGTTCTATAAAAAGCATAACTCTGTTCTTTAATATTTTATAGTAAAATTTAAATATTTAAAAATTTTGTAGAGAATTTTTTTTGCATTTTCTTCCTCATATAAGATGCTTTTAATAACTTGCCCTCTTAAGTCAATGAGAAAGAAAAAAAACCATTAAGAGCTGAAAAGTGGTTTTAGTGGATGGCAAAGAGGTAGTAGTTGCATAGTGTAGAAATTGCTGTCCTATATAATAAAAGCCTAATATGCAAATTTCCCCCTCAGACGGTTGTTCAATTATGAGTTTGACCAGGAGTTCGACTGCTCACTATGAAGTGTGATGACCATCAGGGGGTGGTGTGGAACATGGTGGGTGTTGGTGACATGGTGCTGGCAGCAGCTCAAACCTTAATGGGCCTGACAAGAGCAAGACTACAGCAGATGGTGGAGCAGGTGAGTGGGCGCAAGGCCAGGGCAGGTGTGAGTGAGGGCCTTATTGCTCTGCCATTCACCCCACAGATGGTGACCTGTGGCAGCAGCAGGGTGCAGGGCTGCCACCTGACTCCCGGGCACTGAGGGCAAGGGCCCTGTCCCTGGTTTGATTGCCCCACAGGCAAGATGGTAGAGCCGGTGAGGGGGTAGAGCCAGGCCAAGATAGGGTGCCATTCAGGACTGCAGGCTGGGGGCACAAGCTGGGGTCTGATCTCTGCAGGCCACCCTGAGGAGCCCCACTCATGCACAAATTCGTGCACCCAGTCTCTAGTGTCAAAATAAGTGCGAACAGGGCTTCATAATTCAATTCATAACAGCTTACGTTTTGGCATTGATATTGTAATAAAGAATTAGCAAAATGTTTCTCATTCCTCCACTAGGGCCAGCAGTGTACGAAAGTAGAAAAGGAGGACCCATACCTATAGGAGTTAATATGATGTGTACAAAATTAACTTCTGAACTACAACAGGGCAAAAAAACAAGCATGTACTAATGAAGGTCTAGAGGTCTAAACGGAAGGAAAAAAATATATTTAAAACACTGTTATTTTTAAAATGCAAATGCATTCTACTCAGAATATTTGCTTTATACATTTATGAATATTTATATTTAGATCTGAGTAAAATAGATGTTCCGGGAAATGAACATGACTTCTGAGGTTTCAGGAGTTCATTGGCAATCATCATGTGCCCTGGTTTTAGAAGCACAGGCTCGAGGAGTCCCATAGGGGCCTGCCAGCTCAAAGATATCTCCCCAACAGGCTGCTGATTTTATTCTCCTTCCCCTCTTCTCTCTGAAGGGACTCATGAATGACCAACAATACTAGCAGAAGCACATACATTATAGAAAAAGAATAGTTTTCATATCAATTTACCCATAGCCCATCACTGATATGTAGTGTAAAAGTGCAGTCTTTGAAATGAGAAATTTGTGCGTGCTAATCACATTTCTAGTACTTCTATAAATGATCTTGGGGAAATCTTTCACCTAGTTCTAGCTTTCATTTTATATATATATTCTTTATTAGACTCAATTATTCATATATATATTTATGGATTTCAGAGAGGAAGGGGGAGGGAGAGAGATATATATAAACATCAATGATGAGAGAGAATCATTGATCGGCTGCCTCCTGCTTGCCCCTTACTGGGGTATCGAGCCTATAACCGGAAATCAAACTGTGACCTACTGGTTCTCAGGTCAATGCTCAACCCCTTAGCCATGTTGGGCTTAGCTTCCATTCCTTGGTTCTTGATTCTATGTAAGGATTGCAATGCCCAGCTGGTTATATGACAGTGAGGGTGTAAAGATAATGTACATAGAAGGTTTGAACTATCGTAGTACATGTATTCATCTAGCAGGAATTGACTGTGTGCCCGCTTTTTGCTAGCCACACTGATAATTACAGAAGATAGAGCTGTAAACAGACATGGCCCTTGGCCTCCTGGAGCTCAGAGTGTATGAGGCAGAAACAGAAACAGAAAGAGCAAACTGAATAAGAAACAGTTTCATATATTGGTTTTTCGAAAGAGAAAAATGTAGTTTAATATATCAATGATATGATACCGGCTTACATTGGTGTAGCTAGTAAGTACTGTTTCTTTGCAATTCTTCCCAACTCTACATGAGTGACAACATGTTGGTCGGTTGAAACTGGACATTGTCGGTTATTTACACCAAGGAAATAATCAAGAGTCACAAATAAGCCTTAACCCTCTCCCTGCCCACAAGAACTTGTTCTTATATATTTACCAGCACACTGCTGAGTATAGTAGTGACAGGGATATGCAAGGATGATTAATAGATAGGATAGTCAAGGCTCCCTGAGGAGATAGCACTTGATTTGAGGACTTAAGAAGGACCTGGCCCTTACAGACATCCAAAGCCAGAACATTTTAGGCAAAGAGAACAGCAAGTACAGAGGCTCTTTGCCTTGAATATTTAAGGAAGGAACACTATTTATAAAAAAAAAAAAAAAAAAAAAAAAAAAAAAAAAAAGATTATTTATGTGGTGCCTACCTATTTCTGAGAATATACTAAAGACCAGCATTTCTGAGAATGGCCAGGACTGTGAACTTCAAGGTGTTTGATATCTGACATTCATTTTTCAAAACTAACCTAAGAACCAGACAATCTAGGATCTGTGAAATGCGATCAGCTTATATAAGACATGCTAACATCACGTGGTAACTTTCCACTGGGACTTTACAGTGAACTCATTAGACAAGTAAAGAAAACGGGCCTTCGTTCCTCAACAACCGCTGTTCTTTCATGGAGAACCTGGGGATGGAAGGACTAGATCCAAAGCTTACACCTCCCTCTGTGTTTCAGTGAGACTTTTGGAGGGGAGAAAGGAGAGTAAGACAGAAAAGGTAATGTGCCAGGAATGCTTTGAGAGACTTGGGGCAGGCAGAGGGGACAGAGCAATTGGAGTTGAGCTCCCAAAGGAAAACCCCAGAAACTAGACCAAAGATCAGAAGCCTGGACAAAGAGGCTGCCAAAGAGGAGATGCTCCGCAGTGCTGACAGGACTGCCGATAAGCTCTGCTTACCACCTGACCAACAGGGGCTGTGTCCCAGCCTTTGCAGTCCTTTCCCCTGGTTCGCTCTGCCACTCACCTTTCAGAAAACTAACGACTTGTGGGCCTGAGATTTAGGGATACATTTTGAAGAGCTTTCTTCTACACTGACTTGTAAATTATCCTGTAATAACTATTGTAATTAGATAGTCTGTATTACCAATTTTAATACTTAAAATGCCTTAAAACATTTCCCCACTAAAATGGATTTCCCCCCACAATTTGATACAAATAATTAATGGCACTTTTTTTCTTTCTACTTTTCAAAAATACTTTCATTACTGCATGCATGAATGACTTTATTGATTATACTTTACTGACTTTTTTTCATTACTAAAGGATACATGCAGAACCTGGTTTTAATGTTTAGTATTCCACCTTACCCACGATTGGTAGGGAGAGGTGCTCAAGTGTCAAGGGACACTTTCTACCACTACACTATGGATTTTTATTTCTTCCTATAATAGAAGGGTTTTCCTCCGGGAGCTCAAGTCCAATCGCAATAGAATTTCTAAGGTGGTCTTGATAATGCGACGACAACGAAACTAATGGGATCATTTTCATAACCAAACCGTACTTATAAAGTAGGCCTTGCTATTCCAGTCAACAGCATCATATTCAAATAATTCTCTTCTCAATTATTTGCATTTTAAATTAAGGAAGTAAATTAAGGAAATAAGAGCATTTCAAGCAAATGGGATGCTTGGAAGGCAAAGGAAATAGGACCCATAGCACCTGTTGCTTAAATGGTATTTAAATATGTTTTCTTTTTTTCTTTTCTTTTTGTAAGTGGGATATCAGTTTCAAAGATGAGGAAGAAAGTCTAGCTCCCACCTGTTAGTGGAAGAATGGATGGAGCTCAGGATGAGGGTCCCCGTGCGAGGCTATGGGCAGGCAGGCAAGAACAGCGGTAAAGAAATAAAAGAGGCCTCGTGAGCATTCCCAAGGAGTCACTGCACTTGAACATGAACTAGAGCTTTTTCTCTGCACAGAAATATTGAGGATGACATATTTTTTTATGAATAGTGAAAAAATATATTTGCTTATACCTGAAATGCAGGTCTTTAAAGGAGAACTGAGTTTCAATGATTCCCGTTGTTTTCACGCGAGAATGTAGAACATCTTGTTCATTTGGAACGTATCCAGGAGCCGTTATTCTGTCCAAATCATTAAGGTAGCTGACAAAAACAAACAAACAAAATAGCTAGTATATGTCTTTAATTTTGTAAAGGATTTTTGTTGTTGTTATTATTGTTGTTCAGAGTCCATTGAAATTATAAAAATCCAGATTGGTGATTTTCAAACTCTGCTCCTCAGAATGATAAGAGCTTGGTGGCAGGGAGGTTGCGTTACCCTGAGTGTGGTATACAGCTGACCTGCAGGGGTAGGGACACTTTTAAAACCAGATAGATAAATGTCGCCTTTGCTTGTATTTTATAAGGTGTATGTGATATGCTTGCCGGTGTGTAGATAGACATTTAAGGGGTAAGTTTTCTTTATTAGACTTACCTCCTGCAAAAATGTTACCTTGTAATTATGATCACTGGACTAGTCTCAAGATGTGGTTGTTTGCATTTAGGCACTGAGTTTTAAGAGGGATTGGTTTTAATATCATGATTTGAAAGTTGTTGTGTTGTTTTCCGTGGAATTTTCTAGCTTAGGATTCTGAACAAATTTCATTAAGTTCCATGACTATATCCACTTAGTCCAATGACAGGAGAAATGTTTGACTTTCTTGCTTGTTCACAGTGGAACTCATTCATGAAATTGCCAAGCCACCCATGAGCCTGAAGCACTCCTGGGGACAAGAAACTGAACCTACACACTGTACCCACTTCTACTTCCTCTACTCTTCCATCCCTGCATCAGTGAGCCACACTCTCTGGAGGCTACATTTGGAAGCTCTGCTATTACCAGGATGATTCTATTCTCTTTCTGCTCACAGTATCTAGGAGTGAAGGGAAGAAGTCTGACCAAGCTCAGAGCTCTGTAAAACGAGTCTGCTGGATTAGATGAAAGAAACTACTCTTAGCTTCATCCTTGAAACCAGATCCTAAACCAAAGTGTTTTATTGCTTTAAACACAGTTGAAAAATCACTGTTCTAGATTTTTGATACAAAGGTTTCAGTAGCTTAACAATATGGCTTTTTCTGAAAAAAAAAAAAAATGTTAGAGGTAGCAATAGACAAGTAAGGTTTTTATGACTAAATTGTACAGTATAATGAACCAATGTAGCTTAATAGAAAGATCATGATAGATTTTCATTCATTCAGTTAAAATTTGAGAGGTAGGATGCACTTGAATATTAGTCATTTTAAAGTTGAAATTTCCTAAGTTGAAGAACTATTTATGTCTTAGCACTAGCACAAGGCCTTAAAAAAGCAAAGCTATTTGTCATTGGTTAAAAAAATAAATCCAAATGGTAAGAATTCCTTCATTTTTATAGCAGTGTAGTGCCATTTGCAGCAGCATGGGAGTGTTAGGCAGGGGAAGAAACAATTAACCAAAGGACTTGTATGCATGCATACAAGCACATCCAGTGGACACAAGACACTGGGGGGTGGGGTTGGTTGGTTGAGGGCATGCGACAGGGGGTAGGAGAGGCTGGGGGAAGGTCAATAGGGGGGAAAGGAGTTATATGTACTACTATGTGTAATACTTTAAACAATAAAAAAGTAATTGTCAAAAAATAATAATAAAAAATAAATTCAACAGCAATATAGATCATATATTCTTGAAGGATCTTTCTCCTTTTAAGCTGAAATAAACTTAGAATAGGCAAAAATTTTGGCCAAGGACAAATAGACAATCACAATCCAGGAACGTATATGTGTTATAATGTGAAAATATATCACTCCATTTTATTCTAACAGAGTTTATCTTTTAAAAAAATGAGAAAAAATTAAGATATAAGTATGTCAGAAGAGCCGGGACCGGTTTGGCTCAGTGGATAGAGCGTCGGCCTGCGGACTGAAAGGTCCCGGGTTCGATTCCGGGCAAGGGCATGTACCTTGGTTGTGGGCACATCCCCAGTGGGGAGTGTGCAAGAGGCAGCTGATCGATGATTCTCTCTCATCAATGTTTCTAATTCTCTATCCCTCTCTCTTTCTCTCTGTAAAAAATCAATAAAATATATTTAAAAAAATAAATATGTCAGAAGAAAGTATTGGAATATTTTCCTAGCTTACCTATTTTTTATTCTGTGAATCAAGTTTTTTTGTGCATTTTTTATGGGCAAAGTCTGCATTGGTGGTAGGTATATTATTAGTCAATTGGTTGATGCAGAAGCAAAAACAAAAACATACCTGCCATGATAGATATTTATTTTAATAATAGGCAAATGAATGTTTTGGTAAAGTCACATTTTAATGTACTTTTATTTGTATATATAAATAATTTCAAGCAAAGTAGAAACATTAACAGGGTGACAGATTTGCATTTAAAATGTTTGTTTCTATAAACAAATATAGGATTTGGGTGCTTCAAGCCTGTAGACTAAAACTTAAACCAAACCACAGGCCTAAATATATATCTAAGTTTTTAAAAAATATCTAATTTTTTTTTTATCATGTAAAAATACCATTTTTTTTTTCTGGTCAAGACTATGTTAAATCTTAAAATGTATGCGATTTCAATAACACAATAGACAGTCTTGGTGAGTAAATAATAAGATATTAATGAAAATATTTCCCTTGTTTGCCCAGGTCATGATGCTTTTCCTTCAGTGTTCTGGTAGTGATGGTGGGGAAGTGCTATGTTGCCAACAAACAGTATTCTTTCCCTTACACTGCTAGCACTTGTCTCTGTTAGCTTCATCTTGAAGGGTATCTTTGTTTGAGAGGATAACAAACATTTCTCTTTCACACACAAAAAAAGACAGAAAGAGTAAGGAAAGAAAGGAAGGAAAGAAAGGAGGGTGGATAGGGGAAGAAAAAGATGGAGGGGAGGACGAAGAAAAGAGAGGAGGAAAGGAAATAAAAGAGAAGAAAGAAGAGGAAGAGAGAGGAAGAGAAAGAGACCATTGCTTTATATAATGCATCTGAAATAGACATGAATATGGTCCTGATTTGATATTATATTAACGAGTTTTGAAAAATGGAATGTCATTCAGTATTTTAGGAAAATCTGTTAATTTTTGGAAGAAAACCATAGCCATTCAGCTATTTTTTTTTTTTAGCAAGTTTTTACTTAATCATTCTTTAAAGCAATGTTTCCCAAACTTTTGACATATGTGTACCCTTTCTATAATTTTCGTAATGCTGAGTACCCCTCGTACTCATGAGAACGTAGAATTAGGTGCAGCTAAGCACAGTGCAGTGCATATCCCCACAAAACTCCGGTGCAACGCGTACCCCCACCAAACTCTTCCCGTATCCCTGGGGATAAGCGTACCACACTTTGGGATACACTGCTTTAAAAGATCCCAAAGAAGAAAAATGTTAATATTTCATTTGTCTTGATTTTATCTAAAATTATTTTTAGACATGGGGTGTATTATGTAGGTGGAATCATCTTTCCTGCTGTTATTCTACTGCAATTAGATATTATGTACATGTGTTTAACTTGAATAGATACATTGCTCTTAATATGAATCCATATTGTGATAGTCTCAGTATAAACCACATTTTATGTGTCAAAATAAAGAAAACAATTAGAAAATACAATAAAATGTAATTTTGTCTGCCCATTTTGTCTATAATATGTACATTCCTTTTGCTATTCAAGAGCAAAGAACTTGGTAAACATATGATAATATAATTGTAAATACATTTTAAGGGAAATTATGTTAAACAGTAATATGTATCTAAAACTAATAACAGATTTCAATCATTTATTTATTTAACTAACTTTTTCTTCCTCCCTTTTTTGAACTTTGCTAGCCAATTTTAACGAAAATATTCCATATTTCAGTTTCTTATTAATTTTGACTGCTTTTTATCAATGATTCATATAGAAAAGCCAAATATTTTTCTATACTACTGACAACCCTCTTAGTATTAAAATGTGGTTATGTACTGAGACACTTATAAAAGCAGTTATTTAAGCTTATATAATCATAGGATGATGTTCATTCTCTACTTCATCGGTGAGACAAGAGTTGGTAAAGGTCAATGTATCCATTGGGTTTGGGATTTAAAATTAATATAAATGAATAATCACAGGAGACTGTTATCTTTTCCTAGAATTTATATTTCTCTCTCCATAATCCTTCTGCCCAACATGATTAAAAATCTGTAGATCATGCAAGTTTTATTGTCCTGTACTCAAATAATCTTTCATTTGTTTCTCTTTCACATTACTGTTGTTGTTTTTCCTTACTCTTGGCATGTTGTGTTTGGGGGTCACCAAAAAGACTCTATTTATATCTTTTATACATTAATATGCATGGACAGAAATATAAAATATGTAATGAAACTATATTTACATACATGCACACACATACCTATAGCCATGTGACCTTGGGATAAGATAAAAACCAGTTACTAAAATGGAAACCTAAAGTCATTTTCATAATCCTATATAATAAAAGCCTAATAGGCTAAGTATCTGATCAACCAGGTGACCAACCAATCAAAGTGTAATATGCTAATGATATGCTAAGGCCTCTCAACCTCTCACTATGACATGCACTGACCACCAGTGGGCAGACACTCCAACCAGTAGGTTAGCTTGCTGCTGGGGTTTGGCTGATCAGGACTGAGTGAGATGGGCTGGAGGTGCCCTGGAGCCCTCCCACAGTCCCTTCCCATTGACCAACCTCCTGGTTCCTTCCCTGGCCCTGATTGTGCACTGGTGGGGTCCGTTGGCCTGGCCTGCACCCGCTCACAATCTGTGGCCCCTTTGTGAATGTCAGAGAGCTGGTTTCAGTCCAATCCCGAAAACCAGGCCAAGGGAGCCCACTGGTGCATGAATTCGTGCATCGGGCTTCTAGTGTCACAACTTCCTTTCTTAGAGCTGATAATTGCAAACTGGGTGATAGCTGTGAAAATTATATGTAGTCTTTCTTGAGACTCAAAATAGAATTCCATAATGTATAAGTGTTGTGAATATCAATACACTAGTTTTTCTAGAACTCTTTGAACCAGAGCATGTGTCACTAATCAGATTACTTCAGACCATGACTTCAATAACATGAATAGAGAAAAAATGAATAGCCCAAACTTTAGTGTGCATGTCACCATGCTGTGTTTATGTTAATTATGATGCAAAATAATTAATTCTTTTTACTTTGAATAAAAAAAAGTTTATCTACTATCTATTTATTTATTAATAAATTAGTAGCCATTTATCTTTTTTAAATATGCATATACATTTATATATTTATTGATTTCAGAGAGAAAGGGAGAAGGATAGAAAGATAGAAACATAAATGATTAGAGAGAACCATCGATGGGCTGCATGTGCCCCTTATTGGAATTGAACCAGGGACTTTTCAGTCCAAAGGCCAATGCTCTATTCACTGAGCCAAACCAGCTTGGGCACAAGGATTTTATTTTTATTTTTAACCTTACATAACAGCAGTAGTCCAGTTATAGAGTAGTTCTAGGGTAGGTCAGAGATTAAATGCTTTCTTAAGGAATTGAGCTTTCCCCCCCCTAAACTTCTGCTTGCTATTATCAGCTAATAATCTTGGTAGCTGCAAATGCTACAAGAATAATAAGGCATGTGACTTGACCTGGAATCCAACAGTGACCTCCTGGTTCATAGCTCAACATTCAACCACTGAGCCACACCAGCTGGTCTGGAGAACATAGTTAAAACACAAAGATCTTCTCAGGAAAATAATTTCAAAATTAGTTATTTAAAAGTAGAGGCCTGGTTCAAGACATTTGTGCACTGAAGGGGGCGTGCAAGAAGGGGACTCAGCCTGGCTTGTGCCTGCTCGCAGTCCGGGACCCCTTAGGAGATGTCCTATTTGCTATCAATCATTAAGTTTTGATTATGATGTGAAAAGGGATAACAATTGCTTGGTATAAGTCCATTGACTTGGTATAAGGGCCCAGGGTCAGGCCTAAGCCAGAGGTCAGACATCCCTCTAGCAGTCCAGGATCCCTCACTCCTAACTGCCCGCCTGCTCACTGTTCCTTACCGCTCGGTTTGCTGTCCCTTAGCTCTGCGCTCGTCAGCTGTGAGTCTGGCTTCTGGCTGAGCAAGTGCACTGACCACCAGGGGGCAACTACTGCATTGAGCATCTGTCCCCTGGTGGTCAGTGTGAGTCATAGCGACCTGTCATTCTGCTTTTCATTTGATTTGCATATTAGGGTTTTATTATATAGGATGCTTCCCTGGTTATATTTTTTTTACATTTCATTTATATTATTTTGATCTTTTTTATTTATCTTGAATTACTTTTTATTTTAGTATAATAAAATGAAAAACCATTTATTTTTCTTATTTGTGAGTATGAGTAAGGAGTATACAGTTATAATTCTTAATTGTAAATATTTCCACTACAATTCCTGTCAAAATGTATTCACTTACTAAGCTGCTGAATCGTTGAGCTGATACTCAGCTGACCTTTCAAAGCAGGCCTGAATCCCTGGATCTCTCCACAGCCGCTTTATTACCTCCGCCAGGTCCTGCGTCATTCCCCCATCTTCCAGGGTATTGGCCATCGCATAGAGTTGTTTTTGGTCTTCCTATGGCAATGTTTTTATGAAAAGAATAAAAATTTGTCATTATTTAAAATCACATATTCTTTTTTTTAAATAGAACATTTAAACTGGATGATTTTATATGATTTCCTTAGGTAATAATTCCATTGAACATGTAAACAATATATCTAAAGTACCTTATGATCACTGGATAATACCCAAAAGAGTTCTCTATTGCAAAAATTAATAGATTTAAATATTATCATTAAAAAGACAGGCTATTTTGATATATATTTTGCTATAAATCATTAAGTTTTGATTATGATGTAAAAAGGGATAACAATTGCTTGGTATAAGTTCATTGAGCTCTCAGATGGTCAAATGCTCATAAAAGGGTAATGGATTGAATCTAAATTGGCACATAGTGTTCATTTGATAATGGCCACATTTCCCCCTAGGAAATAAAATATCAAATAAGAATTAGAGAAATTGAAAATAAAACTTAATATTCTAAAATCATACTTAAAAATTGATATACAATATTATTTGCCACCATGTGCCTCTTTGTAATAATATTACTAATGGTAAACAATTTAATATACTCAATATTTTGAACATCCAATGTAGTGTTGTTAATTGTATGCCTTTGGGGGCAAATTAATAGGGCAAAGTTAAGACAATAAAAAAAAGGAAAAGAGAAAGAAAAATAGAAAAGCAACTAAGTAACTGTTCTAAACTTAAGAAACCAGTAACCAAAAAACTCACATAAATTTTTGGTTAAGACTCTTTTTCTCTTTGAATGGCAATTTGTGTGATAATGTGCAAAGGCTATGTAAGAATATATAACTTGGCATAAATAAAGAAACAAACAAAAAGAAAAGATAAAGCCATGGGAAATCAGAACCCTGAGTTGTATACATAAGTAAAGTGCTTAGCAATTAATCTGTTGAGTACACAGTTTAAGTCAGGTGTGGAAAATGCATTAATCCTAAAATCAAATACGAATGATTGTGATTGAAAAGGCTATCATTTATGCTAGTTTAAATAAAAATCTGAGTGTGCAGTGCCTGACGATGGTGATGCTTGATACTTGAGAACATAGGTCCTCCTGAGAAGTTGTGCCAGTTGCTTAGTGCTGCTTAAATTAATCTATTTTTCTTCCCATTCAATGCACATTTTGAATAAATTGCATTTCTTTTAAATTTTAGTAAGCATAATGGCAGCATTGTACAGAATCTATTATCTTCATTCATCATGAGTGTCAGATCATTAAGACTTTTAACCAAAAGATTTCAGGTGCTGGCATCACCTTTTTGCAAACACTGAGCCATAGTAAGCACACAATATCTCTCTACAAGAAACCCTAATAGGCAAACAGACCAAATGGGGAAACAACCGAACCACTGGTCCCTATGTTGTGTGCTTACCACCAGGGGGAGTGCACAGAACATGACAAGCATTGGCCGTGGCAAGATGGTGGAGCAGGTGAATGGAGGCACCAGACCAAGGTGGAGTGCCAGTCGCTGTCATCAGGGCGAGCCTCTGGTGGTTACTGAAAATTCTTTGTTTACGAAGGCCATGGTCCCACCCAACACTTGCACTTGCTGCCAGTGCTGGGTGCTGGCTCCAATAGCTCAGTGCCGTCAGTGGGTGCGAGTGGCAGCTGCCGGCCCCAATTGTCCCTGAGGGCTTCTCCACCTCCTCCTGCTCCTGAAGGGTCATCGGGGCTACAGCTGCCACTTGCACCTGCTGCTGGCGCCGGCCCCATTCACTTCATGCAGTCAGCGGGTGAGATAGGTGCCACCATCAGCACGTGGGGGCAGAGGCAGTGGGACTGGGGCTGCCAGCAGACAGGGGACTGGGGGCCATGGCAGGAGGGGCTGGATGAGGGTGTGGGGGATGGGCAAAGACCCGCCCCTGTGCCCACCACAGCCTCACGCGACCCATAGTTCCTTTCAAAGCGTAAGAATTCATGCACTGGGCCACTAGTATTTAAATAAGTAGCAATAGGCAAGGTTGTGATTTCCAACTTCAGTGATGCTAACATAAGAAATATTACACATGAAAATTAAAACAGTGAATTATTCTCAAATGAATACAGAAAGAACACCTATTTCAGGAATTATTACAGCTTAGAAGAAGGAAAGTAATCATTACAAGTGTTTCTACAAAATACCTTGCATAGGAAGAAATACCCTAATCGAATCCAGGGGAAGTGGGTTTTGTTCTAAGCTCCAGCAATTGAAGGGAAGCCAACCCTTTGTGAAACTTCTTTTTTTTTTTTTTTTTTTTACATCTTTAAGTAAGAGGGTTAGTTCAGGTTGTCTTTTAAGGGCAGTTCAACATCCTAGGCTTGTAGGAAAAAGACAGTGAGAGTGAAAACTCAACTTCCCTTGAAAAACAGTGTGGTCACTACATCTCAGGATGATAAAAAGAGGAAGGATATTTGAAGTTCAGTTCTTGCAAGTTTCCCTTTTACATGAAGGAGAAAAACTGTAACCTAGAGAAGTAGGGGACTTACTGGAGGTGGGTTGTGGGGTAAGCTGAAAAGGAAGGAGCGCCTCCAGACAGAACTCCTGACACTGCTTTACAAAGTATTTCCCCCAAGGACATTTCCATGCTAACTGTCAGGAAGAGGCAGAGCTATATTTTTTAAAATTAGTAGTATGAGGTTCCTCAGAAAACAAAAAAATAGAACTACCATGTGATTCAGGAGGCTCTCTACTGGGTAGCTATCAAGAAGAAAACAAAAACACTAATTCAAAAAGACATATGCATCCTTACGTTCACTGCAGCATTATTCACAATAGTCAAGATATGGAAATGACACGAGTGTCCAGAAATAGAAAAATGAATAAAACAGTTGTTTTTTTTTTATGCACACACACACATATATATATAAACACATACATCTGCACACATATGTACAATGGAATATTACTCAGTCATAAAAAATGAAACCTTACCATTTGCAACAATATGGATGAACTTAGAGTAAAATAAGCCAGAGAAAGATAAATTGGTTATGATTTCACTCTATTTGGGGAGAAGTACTAGGGTGAGAGGGAATAAGAAGTACAAACTTCTAGCTACAATCACCAGGATGCAATGTACAGCACAGGGAATATCATCTATATTATCAAATTAACTTTGTACAGTGACAGATAGTTACTGGATAAATTGCAGTGATCACGTACGTCATAAGATACATAAATGTTGAAAAAATTATGCCGTACACCTGAAACACGTGTAATAGTGTATGTCAGTTATGCCTTAAGAAAAATAGGAAAAAAAGATAATAGCATTAAATATTTTTATTTTCATCCCAATGGCTTCCAATGGTTATTTACACGATCTAAAAGTACTGGTCAAATGGGGAAAAGCATAAATGTCACTTTTTTCCTTTGTACTTACTATACTGTTCTTCTCTGTTTTTATTATCACATATCAAGGTATCTAAGAATTACTTTGGGAACAATTCAATTGACATCGGATGCAACCAGCTGCTCCCCCGGAGGGGATAGGGAAATGGGTGAGTTCTTCCTAAGAATTGTACACAGTTACTCCCTCTTTTGGGTGTGGCTGACTATTGTTCTTTAGATACTACGTGCTTAGTTTGTCAACTAAAATGGCTTTATATGCTTACGCACAACCTGTTTTAAAACAAGTTGATTTTAAATGTACTTTAACAGTAAATAATTACATTACAAAATAGAAAATAAAAGAATGAAACTACTTAGTTGCTATCTTTAATAACAAATCTGACTCCTTGAGTATATTTAATATAGAAACATTTTAACCACATAATTTTGAATTCTTTTTAAAAATAACGTTATTAAATAATCGGTTCCATGCGTCTTTGTAATGATCATTGAACAATAATAATTGCAGTGTTTTTATTACAAATAAAGTCTCCATGAAATGACTCCCAATGAAACTAAGAAAATAAATACAGATATCTTACAGTTTGATTTTGTGGAATAAACTCTTTTGTGTTTAGCAAATAAAAACAGTATTTTTCTCTAATATAGTTTATTATTGGATATTAGGTTTTACTTTTAGGTATATCTAATGTTGAATAAAATTATAAAAGAAAAATTGCATTTAAAAGAAAATAGAAAATCTTACATTAAACAGAATTAATGTTTTCAAAATTCACATTTCATATTCTTAAACTTTTGGTATAATTATGATAGTATTATAAGTTTATTAAGTCCTACTGTTTTATTGCTCATGCTCCATTGTAGGATATGAAACTGTGAGTATTATCATACTTACTGCACTTCTGGCATTTTCATAATCAATCCCGAGAGTGGTCATGGCTTTCACGATAGCTAGGATAGATTGCAATGTATTACTGTAAACTACTGCTTTGAACTCCATGCATTCTTGCTCACTGTAACCGTTCTTATGGATGATCCTATAATTTAAGCATGAAAAGCTTTTGTGAGTCAAACAATTGATTTTTTTAAATACTAAAACACAATAATAATTTGATTAAATAAGATTAAAGTATATATTTATTGAAAAAGGAAGAATTTTGTCCATACATATTTTTAAAAAAATTTTTAAATTTTTAACAATTTTTTAAAATTTTTATTATCATTTGGGTTTAATATAATATTTTCTTTCTGAATTGCTAATGCTAAGCATAAAGACAACTTAGGATTTGCTCTAGATAAAGCACTACTAAAAATGGGAAAATCATGAACATTTTATTTAGAAAGCTTATTTTTTTTCAAAAGAAAAAACTTCCAGATCCTCAGGACAAAGTTGCATAAGTAGTGTTGACACATGATATCAAGAGGAAAAGAAATAATTTAGTATAAAATTTATGTCTTTTCCTCTCACTTAAGACATGCTAAAAAATAGGAGTACGTGCTTTCTATTTATAGCAATAACAAAGGCATCTATTTTTTTAATGTAGGTAATTCCTGGCTTTTAAATTCCTGCAGCATTACATGTGTATGCGTGCCACTGAGTACTCAAAGCTGCAATGCCCAGACATTTAATTTGGCTGAACTCTTCTTTTCCTTCCACTAATTCAATCAGAACTCAAAAATATTACAATAGTTTTAGAAATAGATTAAAATAGATTTACCTATTAAAAGCTAACATTTTTGCATATGCTAATTTCTTTATTGCATCTTTATTATATAAAATGTTCTTGTTTCTTTCAGCTGTTTGTGTTGTTTTTTTTTTCTTCCTTATTATTTGGAAAATGCTTTGTGCTCATTAGGCATTATTTTGGATGTCATGATATTAAAGATTTGTGCTGTGTCCTTTTACCTAGAGATTTTAGCATAGGGGGAAAAAGAACACAATCTTTCACAAGATATTAAAATCTTCAAATGGGTTCTGCAGTAAAAGGAGTAGAGACAGTTCCTACATCTATTTCTACTTTTAATATCTTATTGCCAATAATTGCTGTATTTGTAATGTAAATATGGCCATGTTTATCTTGACATATTAAACAATTAAAGCAAATCGAGTAGTCAATTAAAGGCTATAGAAAATGTGGTAAAATATTTTTATGGATATTTTAGGAATAAGTTTACTAAAGAAATTCCAGTTCTTAGTCAAAAATTATTTTAATTATTAAATCAGAATGCCAAATACAAATAGGGGTCATTTAGATTTTCTTCCTGGCACAAGTACTGATCCCTTTCCTTTCTCCATTGAAAAAAGGAAACATCTCTCACAAAGCAAATGACAAAAACAGACCTTAAAAAACCCAGTTGCAGTGGGACTGGAAGTAATTTTTAGGAGCTGCACAAATGTGTTTCTGTGAAGCAGAGCTCTCTTCCTGCAAGTTAATTCCTAGCTCTGGCATTTTCTGTAGCATATTACATTATGCACTGAAGAAAATGAATAAATTAAACAAGTCCCTCTTCTCTCCCTCCCCCCCCAAAAATAGACTAGTCACTACACACATTAATTCAAATTTAACTATATTAAAAATTAACTCCTTAACCACCCTAGCTCCAATGAAGTACTTAATACCTCCAGGTGGCTAGGAGCTACCGTGGTGAAGAGTACAGCTATATAACATCTCTAATACCCTGGAACATTCTAAAATTCTGCAGCACACCAAACAAAAGTTATATTTATATATTTTTGCCAATCTTACAAAAATAGATATAATTTTGATATATTTACAAAGAAGTAATAATAGTAGTAATTACCTACCCTTTTTGCTCCAAAGTGACTTTTTAAAAAAATTAGGTGCTGGCCTGGCCACTGCGGCTCCGTGGTCGGCCATTGGCCTGCACACCAAAGGGTTAAAGGTTTGATTCCTGGTCAAGGGCACATATCAGGATTGCAGGTTCATTTCCCCCTTGGAGCGCCTATGGGAGGCAACCAATCGATGTTTCACATCGATGTCTAAATATCCTTGGGTGAGGATTAACAAGAATAAAAAATAAAATAAAATATAAAAGCAGGCGCCTATTCTTGTACATAAGGATTTCTGGTACCAAGAATTTACCAATCAGATGCTATGTTATTATGTGATATAACAAATATGATGCAGCTCTATGTTTATGGTTCATACAGGGCATTCACACTGGATAACTATTATATTGGCTGTTGTTATTTATTTTTTATTTGACAATCTAAGAGAAAAGAGGTCAGAGCCCCTGACTAAATAGTCAGGTGTTGCATGTTTTAAAAATGCTTGTTACACACCAGTGTGCCATGGCACATCTGTTGAAAATCGCAGATTTAGATTATCAATCACATTTCCCAGAGGTATTTATTTTTAAAATGGTCAAATAGATGGACAGATATTAAATAGTAAACATTTAAAATAATACATACTCACTTCATTTGTTTAACAATAGTGCTTTTTCCAGATTCTCCTGCTCCTGAAAAGAAAGATGAGAGTGTTATCAACTGATATATATACATCAAATTCATATACAGATTAAAACCTGAGACATCACTATCCCACCAGCAAATCCTTAACAGACAGCTCTCCTATGTGAAAAGCAGGATAATTTTTCTTTTAAGTCTTGAAAGGTATTAGGTGTCTACTTTACAGGATAGCAGAGGAAAATGAAACCCACTTACATTGATAGATTCAGATATAGTTTGGTTTCAAGGTAGAATCTATTCTAAAGCAAGAATTACATGTCATTAGGGGGGGAATCCCATTATTATATTTGAACATACTTTAGAAAGATTATATCTCTTGGCTTAAAGAAATGGTCCAATATTTATAGTTTCTAGTTCACTCTCATTCTCCCAGAATATCTCTGCATTTATCCTATTGGATTGAATAATAGCAACAAAAACTACATACAAAAAACTTAGAAATAACTTTTTATTTCCAGAATTATTCAAAGACTATTGTGATTGAAGAAATGGCTCTTGTCTTCATATCATATTTATGTTGCTACACAAGCACTTTTTCTTCTGTTTAAACAAAGGAAACAGAAGAGAAACAGTAAACGAATTAAAAGGCCTACAGAGGAGTTGTATTTTAAACAGTAGAATAAATACAAGGGGACTCAAGAGGACTCCTATAAGGATGTTTAAAATTATCTTATGTAATAAAAGGCCAACGACCATAATGGGATATCGACCAGAACGACCTATCGACCAGTCGCTATGAGGTGCATTGACCTCCTCGAGGTCCCTCCCCCTGCCCACAGGCTCTGATTGCTGGATGGCCAATGGGGAATCATGGAGAACCAGGATGAGTGGCAGCAGGGCGGGACTGGGGATGGGCAAGCAGGCAGAAGGCAGACAATATAAGGATGTCTGACTCATGAAAAGAGACCAAAACTAAATATTACTCGAGAGTGAAAATGATAAGAGAATTTTAAAAATATTATTATAATATAGGGTATAAATAGAATATAACCCAAACTTTTTAGTTTTTATTTTTCTATGAGTCCTAAACATGTGAGGGATAGGGTAGGAAGAGAGGGGCAAATTCAGGAAACTTCTTGAAGTTTAAAAGTTCTAGGTTTTTTTTTTTTTCAAATAATTTATTCCAAGCTACAAAAGCAAACCTGACCTCAATTTAGTTGTTCATTCACCGCAGACTTTGCCTTTTTATGTACCACAATATCCATCAACAAGAGCTGGTAAAATCTGATAGTACAGATTTGCTTACAAAATTTTAGATAGAATCACCAATAAATCTCTGAAATATTGAGGAATACTCATTATTTTATAATGATATGAAATGATATATGTTAGAATGTGCCCTTGGGTTATGACTAACATTTATCAATGGAAATATGATATTAAATATATTGACTCACTGCCTGATCTAAAGAACCAATGAGTAAATTTTTAGTCTTCTTATACTAATTTATCTATCATTTAGAGAGTCAAAATTTGATATATTACTGACAGTTCCAGAAATTGGGCCCAAGGATATTTTTATAGTCTCAATTTGCCTGTTAATTTTGGACAGATTTCAAAATAGCAAACTAAGGCAATTTAAAAATATCCCAGGAAAAATCCAAAAATTAGAAAAACTAATATACATAGAAATATGTTTTTGTTATCATGGCAGTCAACTGCCTTATTTTACCAAGTCTGTTATGATTTTTAAAAAAAGATATTTTGATTGATCTTTAGAGAGAAAGGAAGGAAGAAAGAGAGAGAGAAACATTGGTATGAGAGCTAGACATAGATTGGCTGCCTCTTGCATGCCCCCCACCAGGGATGGAAATTGAACAAAAAAAAATGGATGTTAGAGTCATTCTTCAACAAGTAATAGTTATGCCCTGTTATGAGGCCTCCAAGAAAGAGTACAAACTGAAAAATACTAAGGTCCAAAGACAAACCTTGGTCTTAAATGAAAATGAAATACTACTACTATCTTAAAACTGGTAGGAGTAGATGATACATCAGTACCATGTACCTGGGTAACCATCTAGGCTAGGGGTGTCGAACTCAATCAGAGAAGGGGCCAAAATCTAAAATCCAGCCTAAATCGCGGGCCGAATGGTTTACTGAACAGTCATAAACTGTCATTGTGATGGAAACGCAGCGGAGTGCAGTGATGACAGCACGGTGCGGGCCACATTGCAAGGCCTGGAGGGACGGATTTGGCCCGCGGGCCTTGTGTTTGACACATGTGATCTAGGCTGAGGTGGGGGGGAGGAAGTTCTGGATGACAGTAAAGCTGGGAATGTAGACACAGCTGCCTGATGGAGTAATTTAGTAGAAAAGTAGGAACAAGTAAAATGATTTATTGGCCCACATAAAGTTGAAAACAGCAACTTGTCAGCCAAGAAACTGAAAATGACCTGTCATTTTATACTACAACACTTGGAAATGGAGGGAATTAGGACTTTAGCTGAGAGGGGTGATAGATCAGCCGGTAGGGCTGAAAAGTTATTAAATAGCATCACTGTGGAGAAAATTATTGGAAATAGTGTCATAGAACAATGGTAAATGGAGAGCCTTAGAGGGGGCATGCAGGGTTGAAGTTATGTTGTCAATTAAGGTAAAAGATTAAGGGGACAGAGTATTTCAGAATTTTAGGAAGAACATCGCTAATAAAGGTGACTTTGATTGTAGGATAACATAATACAATCAAAGAACTAATTCACAAAATGTGGAAAAGTATGAGAGAGAATCAATATATATAAAAGCCAAATGACCAGAATGATGGACCAACTGGAATGATCAGAACTACTGGTCACTATTACTTACACTGTGGCAGCCTCTACTCCTGGCGGGCCTGGCACTCAATCAGCCCCCCCCACACACACACCCGATTGGGGGCGGGGCCAGCTGGCCAACCACCTGCAGCCCTCCTCCACTGGGCCATTCCCATCCCCAAACAGCCCCCCCCATTAGGGGTGGGGCTGGCCAACCTCCCACATCCCCTTTTCCCACAGGCCCAACATGATGGGTCCTATTGGGGTGTGCTGGCCGGACCCCACCTGTGCATGAATTTGTTCACCAGACCTCCAGTAGAATATAAAATAATGGTCAGAGAGTGACATGTCCAGATATATTAAAGGGGGGACAATTCTAAATAGCAAATTTATTCTATTTGAATATAAAACATTGAGGCTGGAATTAAATCCATGACTTCTACTTTGTTAGCATTGGGATCTAATAAATAAAATGAATATCATTATACTTTGATGAGTCTCACCCTCAGTTTTATCTTGAATCCTATTTCTCTGGGTTCAAAATCTTTTTGATGTATTTATGAGTCAGTATTTGGAGGAAGCTTAAATAGGAGATGGGTTCTGAATTTAAGTCTAAAATCTTAAATGGAAGCATATTTTATTTTATGTAGAACATGGGGTCTCTACACAAGTAAAGGTTTCACTGCCCTCCTTTTCTCCTAACAGTTTGGAAGGGTATAAAACTTTTGGTTAACTGTTCATATTGTCAAATGATTTAAAAAGTACATATTCTTCAATCAATACTTCGGGGTTTGAATGAAAAAGTAAATATAAAAATGTTCTATAATATTACTATATGAAAAGGTTCTATTAAATTGTAGTTAACATGAGTCATTCCTACAGAGACAGTATTTTTAATCTCATTAGCAAATATCATCATTTGGCTAAAATATGGAATATCTTAATAAATGGTTTACATATTTTATGTGAGAAACTTGTGAGTCAATGTTTAAGCTGTCCTGATTATTAGAGATAAATTAATCTAAAACAAGCAACCAAATACATGCAAAACATTTGCCTAAGTGCTTTTTGCCTATTGGGAAAAAGGGACATTATAGTAAGCTATTAGATGCTGCCATCTGCCATTCTTTCTTTTTTTAAAAAATATTTTTATTGATTTTCAGAGAAGAAGGGAAGGAGGGGGGAGAAATATCAATCATGAGAGAGAAGCATTTACTGGCTGCCTCCCACAAAACCTCCTCCACCCTGGGGATAGAGTTCTCAACCTGAGCATGTGCCCTGACCAGGAATCGAACCGTAATCTCCTGATTCATAGTTCCATGCTCAACCACTGAGCCACACTGACCGAGTCAAAATATACATTTTTTTAGTAAGTGCAACCTTCTGGAAATTTTGAAAATATTGATTAACTTAGCTAATGTAAGCTCATTTAAAGTAGATTCTTAAAAACCTTTAGACTCCATATAGGTTTATGTTTCTAAGAGCCAGAAAGTTGGAAAGATATTTTAAAATAATAAAACTCAGATGCCAGCATTGAAAAAATACAGTGTGGTATTGACAATATAAACACATAAAAAAATAAAGAGGCAAAGGTGTTAGACCTGAAAGGGGGCGGGGGGGAAATCACACTAACAATGTTTGTAGGAATGCTTGGCTTTCCCTCTCACCTTTTCTTTACTTTTTCTCTGTCCATATTACTTTCACTCTTGACCAAAGCCTCTTAGAATACTTTGGAGTTTTGGGGAAAGTATGTTTGCTGGTTTCATTAGAGCTGGCCCCAACATCCTTTAAGTGACCAGCCTGTAGGTGGTTACTTGCCAATGACGTGGACTGGTGTGCAGCCACTGCACCTGTGCGTGAAGGAGAGACTATGTCCTTTCCTTTGAGGAACAAACGCTGGGAGTCCCACAGCTGGCTTCTGAGACACTTGCCACTGGGAGCAAAAGGTCACTTTATAAAAGAGAGACTATTATGCTAAGCAACATGTATCATTCAGTAAAAGCTAAACGCTATGTCATGTCACTCACATGTGGAATATAAAACTGGAACTCATAGTTAGGCAACAGTGTGGTGGTCTCCAGAGGAAGGGGCTGGGAGGGTGGTAAAGGATATAGGGGGCCACATATATGGTTATGGCAGCTGATTTGACTTTGAGTGTGGGCACCCAATGCAGTATACAATTCAAGTATCATCGGAATGTCTACTTGAAACCTATTAACCAATGCCACTCCAATAAGTTCAATAAAGTATGAGGACCTTTGGTGTGGAATTTCACAATTCTGAAATAAAATCCTTTTTTGTGTAACTAGAAGCAGGAGGAACATACAACTATAATTAAATTAAAGCTCTTGTTTTCGTATCCTTTTATAGTTCTTTATTTTTAGTTCAGAAACGTATTTCTCTTCCAGTGATCAGGTGAGTCTTTTAATGTTTAGAAAAATGTGTGGCATGTAGGTTATTTTTTTATCTTTCAATTCATCAAAAAAATGATTGAATTTATAGCTGTGGTAAAATATTGTGCTGAGTTTTAAGGGAATGAAAAGACAGAAGAGACCTAATTCCTTACCTGAATGAATATATAAATATCCTGAAAGGATTTAAATGGAGCATATTTTAGACAATATCACAGTGTGTGTTCAGAAGCCTGAATAATGTTATTAATATAATGTTAAGTACCTTCTCATTACTCTTTAAATAACTTCAGACTAATTGGTTTTAGCAGCACAATTAAATAACATTAACTTGAATATCAAACAATGTATTTCTGTTCAAACAAAATAACATAAACCTTTATAACTTGCAATTAAAGGATTGTTTTCAGTATTAAAAAGCAGGCATTGAGCTATGATAGGAAGCAATAAAATAATAAATGTATATGAGTTTTCTCTTAATTATAATAAATTGTATTATTGACAGAGAAATTGAGTAATCTACTATTTCCTCTCTACTTAATAAAAACGTAATAAAATAGTAAATAAAAATGAGTAAATATATACAAAGTGCACATAAAGTTTATTTGTTTCCACATTTTCATAATAAATATCCCATAAGGTAATACACTTAAAATTAAACTTCAGGAAAGTAAATGCAACACAATTGAAGAAAACATCAGGGGTCCGAAAGCAAAAGGATTTAAAAGATTACCTAATAACAACAACTTTACAGTTCTTGCATCTCGCTCAGCATCTTCCTGAAGCTTTTTCTCCAGTTCTTTTGACCTTTTGGCTGACTCCTTACTCTCTGAACTAATTCCGCTTCCCATCACGTCGGATTATTTGCTCAAACTTTTCCAGATGTAGAGCACAGCTCTGGTTTGAGTGTAGGATGCAAAGGAGTTCTCTGCTAAAGTACCCAACAGACCATTCTCTCAACGCTCAAAGATTCTACTTTGACTAAAGAGATGCTTTCTGAGCTGTCACCTGACCTAAGGGCGTCACCTGATCAAATTAAATGGCTATTTCTGGTTCATCTTTAAAAATCTGTTAATCTTCCTTAGACAATGGCATATGATAATGTAGAAAGTTGTCAAAATCTCTATACTTAAAGATAATATGCAATGAGCATCTCAAACAAAATGTTTTACCCTAATAGGCAATATTTATTACTGTAATTTTAATCTCTGATAACTAAACAACAAGCTTGCATCTTATCTTCAGATATTTGAGTCTCCAAATTCTTCATAATTAATTTAATATTACAATCAGGCTATTTATATTCATTCATCCAAATTTATAGTCTCATTGTGACTAGATGATGACACAACATTATTGAAAATCTCAGCATCTGTTGATTAACTAGAAAACAACTTTAAGAGATGGAAAAGATGTAGTTCTTATAGTTACACATATGATTGTATTGTTACATAGAATTCAACACACAGTGCTCTTAAATTATTGATTTCAGTCTCACAGGATGCATCTCCATAAATTGAGCTTTTACTGCTCCCGAGAAAGTCAATCCATCAACTTTAATTGAGGACCCACTTGGTGTAGACACGGAACTGTGTTCAATTTCGGTAGTGCATTGACTCCTTGGGGCCATTAAGCGACAGCTGTTGTTCTGGAAGGACTTTTATTGATTTGGTATAAAGGGAATAAAAAGCAACGTTCTTTGAAACAGTAGGTAATTTGGTTCTTTCTGGGGGAAAAAAAAAAAGAGTAAATACATCTAAATATGTTCCATGCCTTTCAACCACCACCATCGGTACCAAGTACTTCTTGAAGCTCTGCAAGCTTGGGCACAGAGATTATGTTGTGTAATTTTTTTTTGTTGTTGTTTATTTGAAACATAAAGTTCTTGTTAGATAGTGAATCAATATTTTCCTTAGAAATAGACATGGCTACTTGTGACAGCAAATTATTCAATTTGGGATTTGTGAACGTGCCTAACCAGAAAATGCTAGAATATAGTTAGTCCATTACCATGTCAGTGCTGTTCTTCTTGAGGATCACGTACAAAGTTTGAACAGGTGGGGTTTTGCATATTCATACAAGAAGGAAATAGGCTGCCAAATTAAATACATACCCCTGCTTTGTTTGCTTCTCATAAAAAATATTAAGTTGCAGATACAAAAGCATAATCAAAACTTTATGAATTTTATCCCTACAAGGTCATGTCATGATAATACAGTGCTGTGGAAAGGTAGGTATGCAAGGATTTGTGCAAATGATGTAGCATTGCTTTTACAATGCAAAGGGCCTGCTCCTGAGGAACCAAATTTCCACTGACTAGTTTATTTATACTCACCCATGAATAGCGTTTATTCTGATAGCAACACAAAAGAACACAAACATTGGAATAAATCTCTTTGTTGCCTATTGTTCTTATATCAAGATTAAATACACTTTAGTATCTTGAGTGCACAGATTCTTGGATGTTCCAGAGCAATTATGAATTGTCTAGATAGTTTCTATAATTTTATTTCAAATAAATATACCCCATAGCTTTTTGGTGGGGACATACCCTGGATTTGAAAGGGTATGGGTTTTACTAAGGCTCCTAAGAGAGTGACTGGCTAAAACTGACCAAGTTTTTTTTTAGGAGTAGAAGTGTGTGCTTTTTTTTCCCATCATATAAAATTATGAATTTCCACTTTTTGGTGTATCCTAGAATCATTCATCATTAACATTATGAGATTATGATGTGATTTTTTTCATCAATGACTAAACATTCTTTGCAAAAATATTATATCAAGATGCATTGATATTTAGGGGAGGGGGTTTGGGTGAACCAGAGAGGAAAGGAAGGTTCCCTTCTCAGCCCTTTCCCCTGGGTGCCTGGGACACAGCTTCACTAATACGCTGGAGTTTTTAGTCCATGATGCTTCACTTAGGATTACAGCTTTTTAGACTTAATCAAATGATAAAAGTAAAATAATAAATTTCACTAGAGTGGTGACAATATTCTTATTAACTTGGACGTCCTCCAGATTATTTTGCACAATGTTAAAAAAATGATTTCTTGCTAATGAATTGATAGAGACTTAGGGTCTCCTCTTCTTGTTGTTTTATGCTGAGGTGACAATATGGTTAGGCATTCTTCCCAAGGTTCAATGTCATAATTGGTCTCTTGCAATAACCTAGAAATTTTAGATTGATTAAAAAAATTCAGTGAAGTCCAATGTTAGTCTGAAATAATGTCAATAAATACAATTACAACTGTTAGCTCAACATTCACACTTTTTTATCAGCCTTAAAAATGACACCAGCACATTCCCTTTCTATCTTTAAATCTTGTTGTATACTGAGGAAAAATGGACAGAAGATGACAATAGGAAATAAGATGCTTTTTATTTTATTTATTTATTTTTTAAATATATTTTATTTATTTATTTATTTTTTTTACAGAAAGGAAGAGAGAGGGATAGAGAGCTAGAAACATCGATGAGAGAGAGAGACATCTATCAGCTGCCTCTTGCACACACTACTGGGGATGTGCCCACAACCAAGGTACATGCCCTTGACCGGAATCAAACCTGAGACCTTTCAGTCCGCAGGCCAATGCTCTATCCACTGAGGCAAACCGGTTTTGGCATGAGATGTTTTTTATTCAGGGAAACATATGGCCATAAATTTTATTTTAGAAGATAAGCAACTATCACAGACACTGTCATGTTAGAGTTCCATATATTAACCAGCTAAAACAGATACATTGCTCTGTGTGTTTGCACACTCACACTTGGAAGCACAACCCACACACACCCACAGAAAGCAGGAGACATTATATTGGAACATTGTGATTTTTTTTTTTTAAGAATAATTATTGAAAATGACTTCTAAGAACCTTGTTGGATTTTCTTTTTAAAATCTCAGCATCGCCTGATTTGGAATATCTTCTTTTGGGACCAGGCTGTGCAAGAAAGAAAAATGGATTTAAAGTAAAATACAGAGGAAGAGCCCTCAGCTCTAAAGGTCACTGAAAACCCACAAGCCTGGTGGCATGAGTAATTTTTCCTCTTGCTATTTTGGGTCAAGGTCTCTGCGGAACTTTCAGAAGACATTCGCTTTTGAAAACTTTGAATAATCACTATTTCAAATTTATTACTCAATACCTCGCTTGCAGTGACATGCAGTTATTTCCCATCTGCTTTTACTATGGAGATTTTAACCCATGCTTTTGCAGATGTCTCTTTTGTCAGAATAACTTGGGCTTCTGCAGTTATCAAACTGGATTTCCCCTGAGCAAGTGACGTGTGGCTGACTACAAGGAGTGTCTCCAAAGGCTCAATTTTCTTCTGGAAATTATCAATACAGGCTGCTATCTGTATTCGTCTTTATTTTGTTTTCATATCTTATAGGAATTGTTTACTCCAAGCCTTGGGTCCCTGGGTAGTTTGAATCCTAGCTGCCTTAGCAATGACTTTTATCCTTGCATATTCCCATGGAAGTTGCGGCAAACCTTCTCTCTTTTGCTAATGGTGCTCACATGTGCACTTCTGGGAGCTCTGTGCATGGTTTTTCCTCCAGATAGTTCATGTCTTTGGGGACTTCTGAGAGAAGTCTTTTAATCTTGAGGGAATAGGACCAACAAAACTTGCCATTTCAAACGAGCACATTCAGATAGTGCAATAAGTTTACAAGGCCAATACTAAGCAGCTCTTATATCTTAAGAGGTGACACGAATGTGTATATTTATTCATTGGAGTTGAATATTTCCGCTTTACTTATGCCACATACTCTTCTTTATGAATAAGCATATAATTATGTATAATGATTTTTGGAAATAAAAATATGTTATAAGCCTAACTGACAAAGACGATGAGAGTCAGAATTATTTCCCAAGAGGCCTCTTCTTGGCCCAAACTCTGTTTCTTTCAAGATTTTTTATATGTCCCTTTAATACAGCATTTCCACTACATGTTCCCTTAATCTTATTTCTCAGTAATTTAAGTCCTAATTATTGCAACCACTTCCTACTTTGTTTTCCTGATTCTGGTCTCTGCCCTATCCCAGTCTAACCTGTATTGCCAGGTTAAATTCTATAAATTCTCTAAAATCCAAATTTTATTATTATAATTTTCTTAATGAAAGTGCACGCGCGCGCGCACACACACACACACACCCACACACACACACACACACACACACACACACAGAGAGAGAGAGAGAGAGAGAGAGAGAGAGAGAGAGACAGACAGAGAGAGAGAGAGAGAGAGAGAGAGAGAGAGAGAGAGAGAGAGAGAGAGAGAAAGATAGAGAGAGAAAGAGAGAAAACTCCTTATTCTTTACTGAGATCTGTCTTAGTACTGCTGCCATACTCTCATTAATCTAGTTAGCAGAACCCAACAACGCAGATATATTTCCCGTTACTTCTCCTAACACATTCTCTAATTTAGCTCCACTATTATTTTTTTCCTAATTAGGTTGTCCCAATTATCTTTCACTTTGTGTTTTTATTTTCTTCACTAAGAATATCTTCTTCTTCCATGGCTGACTTTTCCCATAGTGCCCCTTCTTTAAGAAAGAACCTAATATATTGTATATGTTCTCCATTGTGCTCCACATCTACAGCCACCCATTGGGTGATTCCTTACTTTCCCAATTCCTAAGAGGAATGTTCTTCCAGTGGATTTGTCCTTCCTCATTCAATGGTCAGGATACTGTTCGGTAATTGTGCTCTCTGGTTCTTCTCTACTGTGTGCTGACTCTTCCCTGAGAAAGAGAAGAAAATAATGTTTATTTAAATAATTTACACAGAAGAAAATAGTGTTTATTGAAATAATTAGTGAATAGTGAGTGATCAATAAATATATGTTTGACAGCATTTTGCTCCACCTTGAAAATACATAACTCTGCTTCCCAAATGATTGCAAGTATGAAATATTACCTCTAGAATTGCATTAATTCACTTATTCATCATTTGATATATTCAACAATTGTTATGAAC